CCCGAAACAAACAAAGGGAAAGGGTTTTTCAAAATTTCAGAATACTGGAAACCCAAAAAATTCATTGTTTTAGATCATAAGTTTATTTAGGCCAAAAGGCACACATAAGTACAAAATTAAACCCTTGTAAATTACCTAGGATAAAAACCCCAAAAAGAGGGAAAAGGGCTTTATTTTTCCCTTTTGAGGGCCTTAAATTTTCCCGAAAAAACAGTAATGCAGTAGAGTGGCCAGTGCTTTTAAAAGGGGCAAACCCCGAGACCCGTACATTATCCCTAACATAGGTACCCCGGTACAGTACATACCTAATTCAATGTTGAGTGTTGTTCTCTGGCGCCATTTTTGACCAGCTGTATCTTCCCAAAGACTCAACTTTTCGCCCTGCAACAGGCTTCATCAGTTAAGTTTAAAAGGGGTGATGGGAAAGGTTTGAAAAAAACCGGGCAAGTTGGGAAAAATTGAGACACTTTTGCAGCATAAAGGGGAAACTTTATTCAGGAAACGTTTTCGGGCCCCCCGTGGGTTCATCATCCAATACAAAGAGGAAGGCGTAAGGAGAGGGGGGAGTAGAGGTAAAAGTCCCTCCAAAACCCGGAATCGATGTGTTTTTAGTCCTTTAATCTTGTAGAATTTTACAAACATAGGGCCCCTAGACGGGGGGTTTTTATACTGGGATGGGGGTGACGTTTAAGCAGATGGGGGCGGGGGCCCTAGTGGTACCAAACCACTAGTCGAAGTAGGTCTTTGTCCCCAAAAGGTTTTAACAAAAAATTCCTTCAACACTTGTTCAACCCTTTTGGGCAAGACCTACTTCGACAGTGGGGTGGGAAACCCCTATGACCCCGCCTCCACCTTCCCTTTACGTCACCTCACTACAGTAAATAAGCCACGTCTACGGCCCCCATGCTGTACATTCCCACAAGATTGTTGGGCTGAACACATCGACTCCAGGCAGAGGGACTGGGTTACCTCAACTCCCCCCTCTCCTTTTCGCCTTTCCCCTTTTTATTTTGGGCTGATTAAGCCACTGTGTGGGGAAACGGGTTTTCCCGTAAAAATTTCCCCTATGCTACATTTAAATGTCCCCAATAAGTAAAGGTGATTACAATACTGGAACACAATTTGGGGAGTTTAAATTTTAAAGGTGATTAGTCCCTTCAACTTTAAAGTACATGCATAGTCACTTAACATTACCTCAATAAAAAAAATTTGTGAGTTTTATTTTTTATCTTGATCAACAATTAACAATTTGTGTAAATTTCAAAATATTTTAACATGGGGAGAAATTTTCACACATTTTCCCAAAAGTCCTACACCTTTGTAGATGAAAGGGTTTTTTAAAAACCGACATGTTGATAAATTAGACACATGTGCAACTCTTGGGGATTTTTTATTGAGGAAAAGGGCGCCACACGTGGCTTTATCAGTCCATACCAAAAAGGGGAATCTTGAAGAACAAAGAAAATGAGGGAATCAGTCCCTCCCAAACCCTTTTGGGCGAAAGTGGTCAGTCCAACAATCTTGAATAGAAAACGGCCTTTCGTGCTGACACTGTCAACACTGCAAACTTCTTGGGATCTTAATCCTTTTGGGGAATTTTTTTCGCTTTCCTAAAATTTTTGGGCCACGACCTACTTCAACATTGAAAAAATGTTACAAAGACCCCAAGGGCTTCTGCCCCCTCCCCCTGCCAAGGGGTTTAAAAAGCTCCTTCCACCGTATGCCGGGATTTTATTCAAATTGATGGGCTGACCACATCGACTCAAGGTTGAGGGCTGATTAAACCTCATTCTCCTCCTGTTCTTCAAGATTCTCCTTTTTAAGGACTGTTTAAGCCACTGTGGGCGAAACGTTTCCTCAATAAAAGATACCCAAAAATTGTAAAATGTGTCCCAATTTTTCAGTCCTACACCTAAATTATTCTCCTGAATATCACATCCCAAAAAGAAATGTTGCGAAAAGGGCTTTTGACCCCCATACTGCATCAGAGGGACTTTCATTCAAGAAGGATCCCTCCAAAACTGGGTGAAAAAAGGGTTTTTGGGTATTTTAAAACTGGGGCTTTAAAAATCCCCCTCCTTGGGGTTCTATTTCCAAGAAAAAATAAGAACATAAGAACAAAAAAAGAAGGGAACAGTGCAGAAAGGGGCCCCAAATGGGCCCCTGCGAGGCATTGGGCCTTATCAAAACAACCTTTAAACCAAAGGCTACCCAAAAAAATAAAATCCAGAAACCCCCCGACACCAACAAACCCCCCCCCCCATCAAATATTTGTTCCCCTTTAAATACAATAATAATAATCACCCAAAAACTAACCATACCCCGCCGGGACTGAACCCGCGGGCCCAAAAAGTTTTCAAAATCCACTGGGGTTTTGAGACTCTCTGACCCCCGGGTTTTAATCCCGGGCCGGGGGAGGTTTTTTTTGGGGAATCGGGGTCATTTACGAAATTTCGGGGGAAATCACAAAAATTTAAATACCCAGGATGTTTTGGAAATAAAGTCACAAAAATTTTGTGGCCGGAAAAATTTTGACAAATCTCGTACTTAAAGAAAAACAAATCTTACGAAACCCAAACGTCGTCGTGTGAGTCTGGGTGAATTACCCCAAAACCTTTCATCAGAAACAAGAACAAAAGGGGTAGGAAAACTCTCATTTTCAAGACAATTCAAAAAGCAAGGGGGAAAGGAAAAGCAAAAACGGTGTCAAAAAATACCCAAAAAAATATTGGACCCGAGAAATGTCAAGCCCCGGGGGGTAACCCGGGTGGGCTTTCCCTTCAAGCTGGGAAAATTTATGGCAGAGCTGCTTCACCCTCCCACCCCATTTAGTTACTAAATGATGTTGCCAAAAATGGGTTTCCAGTGAAGTTCCCAGTGAGTTTTCAGTGATGTTCTAGTGATTTTTACCAGTGAAAGTTTCTAGTGATGTTACCAATGATGTACTAGTGATGTTACCATGATGTTACAAATGATGTTTTCTAGTAATGTTTTTCCCTGATGTTACTAGTGATGTTTTTTCTAGTGATGTTTCAAATGATGTTACCCGTGATTTTACCAGTGATTTACCAGTGATGTTACTATTAGTTTAAACCCCTTTAAGTTTTCTATGATGTTTTCTAGTGGGTGTTTCTATGAGACACCAAGGGTTTACTAGTGATTTAACCCGTGATGTTAAATAAGGAGACAAAAACCCGGAAATTTTCAGTGATGTTTCCAAATGATTTTAAACCTTTATGACACCAGTGATGTTAATAGGGGATTACACCCTCCCGTTTATGGGAGGCGCGAAGCAGTGGATACCAAAAGGCCCAGGAAAATAGTGAAAGTTACCAGTTATGTTAAAAATGATGTTACCAATGATGTTACAGTGATGGTTTTCTAGTTAAAGTTTTCCATTTAGTTACTATGAGTTGCCAGTGATGTTCTAGTGATGTTACCCATTTAGTTACTATGAGTTTTCTAGTGATGGGTTCCCCTTTATGTTACTAGGAGACACCCGGGTGTTACTTTTGATTTTTAACAGTGGGTGTTTTCTATGATTACACCCGTGATGTTACTAGGAAAGTTTTCCAGTGATTTTTACCAATGAAAGACACCAAATGATTTACAATTTATGACACCAGTGATGTTTCTAGTGAGACAACCCGTGGGTTTATAGTGGTGTTGCTAGTGATGTTACCAGTGATGTTACTAGTGATGTTACTAGTGATGACACCAAATGATGTTAAATTTGTTATTTTTAACAAATGATGTTTTCTAGTGATGTTTTCTAGTGATGTTGCTATGGGTGTTTCTAAATGATTTACACCCCGGGTTTTAAATAGTGGTTACTAGTGATGTTACAGTAGAACCCCCGTGATTTTTTTACAAGTGTTTAAATCAAGTGATGTTTTTCATGATGGGGGCAAACCCGTGATGTTACTAGTGAAAGTTACCAGTGATTTACCAGTGATGGGAAACCAATGAAGGGTTTCTAGGAAGAACCCCAAATGATGTTACTATAATGAAACCGTGATGTTTTCAATGGGTACACCCATGATGTTACTAGTGATGTTGCTAGGGAGTTTTTCTAGGGTGTTACCAGTGAAAAGTTACTAGGAAAGTTAAAAAGTGATGTTTACTAGTGGGTGTTACCAGTGAAGTTTAAAAATGATTTTGCTAGTGAGTTAAACCCTGATGTTACATTTATGTTTGCTTTTTGAGTTACTAGTGATGTTAAACCCGTGAAGTTTTCTAATTTTTTTACCATGATGTTTCTAAATGGGTGTTGCTATTTATGTTGCTAGGATGTTACTAGGATGACACCCGTGATGTTCCCAGTGGGGTGTTAACGTGATGTTTTCTAAATGATTTTATGAAGAGTTTACCAGTGATGTTACTATTTATGTTTCTAGTGAAAGTTACTAGGATTTTTCCTTGGGTGTTACTATGATGTTACCAGTGATGTTAAATAGGGGATTTACCATGATGTTACCCTTTATGTTGCTTATTTATGTTTTCCAGGAGTTACTATGAAGTTTGCTAGTTTAAATTACTATTTATTTTAACCAAATGATGTTACCAATGTGTTACCAGTGATTTACTAGTGGGTGTTTCCCTTTATGTTACTAAAATTTTTTCCAGTGAAGTTACTATGAATTTTTCCAGTGGGTGTTACTAGTGATGTTTTTTCAAAAGGGTGTTTCCCGTGATTTTTCCTTTTGAAAGTTACTATTGATTTTTACTAGTGGTTACAAATGATGTTTTTCAGTGAAAAATTTTCTATGAGTTTCTAGTTTACACCAGTGAAGTTACAAATGGTGTTTAACCCGTGATGTTTCTATTTATGACCCCCATGAGTTTTCTAGTGAGTTTTCCCGTGGGTGTTACCAGGATGACAAACCCGTGAAAGTAAATATAAAGAAAACCAGTGATTTAAAGTGATGACACCAGTGATGTTTAAATAGTGATGTTTCTAGTGATTTAACCCCTGATGTTACTAGGAAAATTTACCCGTGATGACACCAGTGAGTTACTAGTGAATTTTTAACAGTGATGTTTCAAAGGGTTTAAATAGTGAATTTGGCCCATTTTGTTACTAGTGAGAAAACCCCGTGAGGTTACTTTGTGAGGTTTTCTAGGATTTTACTAAATGATTTACACCAGTGATTACTAGTTATGACACAAGTGATTTTTTACAGGATGAAAACCAGTGGGTGTTTCTAATGAAAGGGACCATGAAGTTTCCCATGATTTAACCATTTATGTTACAGGAAAGACAAACCCTGATGTAAATAGTGAAGACAAACCAGTGAGTTACAAAGGGTGACACCAGTGGTTTTACTATGAGTTTTAAAATGATAAAAGCCAGTGATTTTTACTAGTGATGTTTCCAAAAAAGGTGTTTACTATTTAAGACCCCCAGGTTGTTACTAGTGATGACACCAGTGATGTTACTAGTGATGTTAACGGTGATAACGCCAGTGATGTTACTAGTGATGTTACCAGTGATGACACCAGTGATGTTACTAGTGATGACACCAGTGATGCTACTAGTGATAACGCCAGTGATGTTACTAGTGATGTTAACAGTGATAACGCCAGTGATGTTACTAGTGATGTTACAAGTGATGTTACTAGTGATGACACCAGTGATGTTACCAGTGATGTTAACAGTGATAACACCAGTGATGTTAACAGTGATAACACCAGTGATGTTACTAGTGATGTTACCAGTGATGTAACTAGTTGTTAGGTAAGACACATATGCAACAGTTAGACAACTTTATTCCGAAACGTTTCGCCTACACAGTAGGCTTCTTCAGTCGAATACAGAAAGTAGGCAGGAACAGTAGAGATGTGAAGACGATGTAATCAGTCCATCACCCTTAAGTCGTAGAATTTGAGGTTGTCACTCCCTCGGCCTGGAGAAGTTCAGTTCCATAGTCAGGAACTATCTGAAGATCAAGCGACAGTGCGGAGACTTAAATACTGTCGGAAGGAGAGGTGCAGGTTAGTAGTAGTAGTAGTAGTAGTAGTAGTAGTAGTGAGAGGCAACTGAGAGGTCATGTCCCTCTCAGATCCAGCACTTCTCACTTGAAAAGCTTGTCCAAGTGTGTTTTCTGTACCAAGATGCCACGTGTTGCAGTGTCTGACAAAGATGAACATCAAAATGGTATACAATACCGACAGGTTGTTAGGTAAGACACATATGCAACAGTTAGACAACTTTATTCCGAAACGTTTCGCCTACACAGTAGGCTTCTTCAGTCGAATACAGAAAGTAGGCAGGAACAGTAGAGATGTGAAGACGATGTAATCAGTCCATCACCCTTAAAGTCGTAGAATTTGAGGTTGTCAGTCCTCGCCTGGAGAAGTTCAGTTCCATAGTCAGGAACTATCTGAAGATCAAGCGACAGTGCGGAGACTTAAATACTGTCGGAAGGAGAGGTGCAGGGTAGTAGTAGTAGTAGTAGTAGTATTTAAGTCTCCGCACTGTCGCTTGATCTTCAGATAGTTCCTGACTATGGAACTGAACTTCTCCAGGCCGAGGGACTGACAACCTCAAATTCTACGACTTTAAGGGTGATGGACTGATTACATCGTCTTCACATCTCTACTGTTCCTGCCTACTTTCTGTATTCGACTGAAGAAGCCTACTGTGTAGGCGAAACGTTTCGGAATAAAGTTGTCTAACTGTTGCATATGTGTCTTACCTAACAACCTGTCGGTATTGTATACCATTTTGATGTTCAACACTGTCCACCATGACTACACTGTCCACCATGGCAACACTGTCCACCCTGACAACTCTGTCCACCATGACAACACTGTCCACCATGACAACACTGTCCACCATGACTACACTGTCCTCCCTTACAACACTGCCCACCCTGACAACACTGTCCACCCTGACAACTCTGTCCACCCTGACAACACTGTCCACCCTGACAACACTGTCCACCATGACAACACTGTGCACCCTGACAACACTGTCCACCCTGACAACACTGTCCACCCTGACAACACTGTCCTCCCTGACATCACTACAGTAGTGATGGTGACAGTATGGTGTATCACTACAGTAGTGATGGTGACAGTATGGTGTATCACTACAGTAGTGATGGTGACAGTATGGTGTATCACTACAGTAGTGATGGTGACAGTATGGTGTATCACTAAAGTAGTGATGGTGACAGTATGGTGTATCACTACAGTAGTGATGGTGACAGTATGGTGTATCACTACAGTAGTGATGGTGACAGTATGGTGTATCACTACAGTAGTGATGGTGACAGTATGGTGTATCACTACAGTAGTGATGGTGACAGTATGGTGTATCATTACAGTAGTGATGGTGACAGTATGGTGTATCACTACAGTAGTGATGGTGACAGTATGGTGTATCACTACAGTAGTGATGGTGACAGTATGGTGTATCACTACAAATAGTGGGTGGTGAAAAGTATGGTGTATCACTACAGTAGTGATGGTGACAGTTGGTGTATCACACAGTGTGATGTGACAGTATGGTGTATTTATTACGTAGTGATTGGG